CCCTTCTTGCTCATCCAGACTGTGAACCCCACCAGGGCATCACCAGGGCTGTGGCAGCTCCTCACCCTGGGTTTTGGGGACCACTAAAATACAGAATGAGAGGCCCGCAGTTAAATCATCCCTCGAGCAACCTCTGAAAAAGCAGCACAAGGCAAAGGAGGTTTCCCAGAACAAGGAAAAATGAGGAAAACACACGAGAGGAGAGAGGCAACAAGCTGCMGTGGTGGGGAGGATGCTGAATGTGAGCACAAGTCTGGGGAACAAGGACAACAACTCAAGCAAAGGCTGAAGAATGCTGGAAGAGCAAAGACAAGCAGAGAGGGGCCTTTAAAAAGCCTCTACCAGCAAAGGAATCACAAGGAAACACAGCAACAGCCTTCCTCTTGCCAATTCCCTGCGCTTTTCTTGATGGACCTCTTAATCTAAGGTCTTGTGTTGTTTTGAACTCATTACTTCTTCATTTATGAGGTACAACTTCGTATTTTAAACACACAGAGAAAATGTGCTGAAAATTAAAATACTCGCATAYGAAATCCTGCCATGCTGGCAACAAGCATTTTCTGTGTGCAAAGGATTTTCACAAGCAAGTGCTGGCACACAAACACACATGCATTCACAYCTAAACTGCAGCTTTTCAGGAAAAGGACCGTTCCCCTAAGAGTCCTCAAAGTGAGAAAAGAAAGAGGAGRGGTGTGCAGCAGTGTCACACAGCCAGGCCATGCTGCTCTGCTCCAGCCTCAGAGCCAGCACTGACACCAAAGTCTGTTCTCCTGCAGGTTCTGTCCAGTCCCTCCCCTTGTGTGCAGGAGCATCACCCCAACAGCTGCACTGCAGCCACCTCTGGGTGTGAGCCTGGGTCACCCCTGCCCTGGCACTGCCCCATGACAGTGCCATCAGCCTCAAAGGACAGCATCCACAGAGCCTGGGATTCAATCTCAGGGAATTTTAAAAGGGCGCTCCAGTCAGCATCAGAATTTAACAGAATTGTTCTGTTGAGTTATTAACGTCACAGTCCTGCTACAGACCTGAGCTTCTTTGGTTATCTTGCCTCCCTGCTCCAAGTGAATTTGCTGGGTGATTTTAGGAAAGAGGAAAAAGGTGGTGACCAATTTTCAGGCCTTCTGATTTAGACATTGAAAGGGAAAAAAATTCCGACATTGCTTCCCTCTTGTTTTTCTAAATAAAAATAATGTATAGCCCTAACTGGATAATAAATATGCTCAAAAGCTGTCCTTAAGTAAAAGCTTTTGATAACAAATTGCCTGCGCTAACCGCTATTTTACTGTTGAATTTTTTATTGTTGCTTAAGCACTGCAATTATGCTAATAAGCCTGAGAGGATGGTACACTAAAGCATTGAATGTGACAGATATAATACTCAATAAAATGTTAATCTTACCTGAAAATTGGAATCAAACAGCCTTATTAGTATTTATGGATATGGCACCTCCAACATGTTTCTTAAGAGGAATATATATATGCAATAGATATTTCCAAATATACCCTATTATTTCTCATGCCTCCATAGAATTTAATTCCAGGTGGCGATTACCCCTGCTGCTAATTGCCAGTCCCTTCTGGAATAAGAAAAAAAGAGTGTTGCCTTCTGGAACATGCAAAACTCCTGCATATTGGAGGGCTTTTCCCTTCGCCACCTGAAGGATGGCAGCTGTCCCTGGGCATGGGGACAGCTCTCCCCAGCTCATGGCATGGCCACCAGGCTTGTGAGGGTGTGGCACCACACAGCAAAGGCACTGCTCTGCCACCCTCTTACCTATTTTCTCCGTATCCTCTCCTTTTATGTGCAAAGCAGGTAGATCCAGCAAAGGGTTCAGGAGAAATGTGTGCCAGAGAAACGACTTTGGGATTTTAAGATGGGCCTAAAGACAAATTTATTTATTTAATCTTAAATTTTTCAGCCAATGCTGACAGAGAGCCAGACCTATCTGCTTCACTGCAAGTTATAGCACTGCCAAGCTGAAACAAGGGGGTCTGGCATGGAGATTCTTTTTGACTTTCTACAAGCTGAGTTGCTTTTTTGCACCTTTAGGTCACCACCTAGTCCCAGTCTGCTTTCTCAACTGACAGCATTTTTTTTTTCCCCATGTGCAGAGTTTTTTGGGGTTTTTTTGCCCAAACCCAGGGTTTCAGATCCAGCCTCAGGGCTCCACTGCCATGAACTTCCTGTAAATAAAATGCAAGTGGTCTTCAGCACCCTGACTTTCTCATTTACTGAAGGAAGAAAAAATCAACTCAGAAGAGCCACATGCTTTATACAAACTATGTGTACACACTGGCCAGGCTCTAAAGAGACCATTTGTACACAATGGACTGTGTAGCTTTCAAGTGCTGCAGGTTAACACCTAAACAGCAGCTGCTGGCTTTCAACTTCACTCCTCATGCTGCTCTCACCCACAGGAGTCAATTCTGCTGACAGGACAGCAGAAACATCACTAACCACCATTACATTTCCTGATAGTAAAACAAAACTATTACCACTGGATGCTGTGAGCTTCCTTAGTGGCAAACATTAGGTGGGAGGCATCTAGGAACTGTTTCCATGAATAGTCAGAGCAGGGAAAAATCAACTGGCWTCCCACTGAAATCTGGGATTCCCAAAAGGCTCAGAAATCATAGCAGGTAACCCACAAGACACAACTCAAAACATCCCAGGATACTCGTAAGCTCTTTCAAGCCACTCTTGCAACCCAGGCTGGCTTGCACTGAGGACAAGGATGGAGTGCAAGGATGGCAACAGAGTGGCTTTGCAAGACAGAGCTTAGAGCAGCTCCACAAACCCTCATTTGCATCACAGAGAGCACAGCACCATGAAAAAATAAAATTCAGTTGCTAAATCAAGAGAAACCACCAACAGACTGAGCTGGCACCTCAAAGAGCCAGGAGATGCATCCAGGGCTCCTCCACCCCAGGCAAGCCCCAGCACAAGRTGCCAGACACCAAATTTCAGGAACAGACAACTTAAGAAGGCACACAAAGTGCTGCAGGACCACACTGCAGCCACTCCCACAGAGGTAGCAGGACTCATCCCTGCCATATTAAGTGAGTCTTGTCATTATTTGCAGCCCTGCAGGGAAATCTAAATTGAACTTTGGCATACTGCTTTCTTCTGCTAAGCAGCAACGCTCGAATGTTAACTCCAGTCCTGACAGGCRTATTTATGGACCATTCTTTGCAAATAATCTTACCCTGACCAGTCCAAAAGGTCAGAATCATAAAAAAGAATAACAACAATAAAAAAAAGAGCACAAGGCTGGAAAACCCTCACTGCCATTGGCACAGCCCCTCAGCTTATTAACCATCCTTGCAACAAGGTGAACTGCAAGGTCTTGGATTTATTTGATTGATTGAGATCAAAAGATCAGGGGGGAACACAGTAAATTGTATCTTTCCACGAATTCATTTTGCTTTCAAGATTTGAGCAGATAGTTGCGGGAATTGAAAAGCTCAAGAGGAGGAAAAAAGAAAACAGAAAAAAAAGAAASACCCTATGTACAAAGGTGACTTCAGAAAAGCATCCCTTATTTTCCTCTTGACACCATCTGCATTTCTTAGAGCTATCTGCAAGTTTCTTCCATGTCCCCATACCCCTGGGACACAACAGCTTATCTCTGCTAAGCAGGAGACGATAAGGAACAATAAGACACTGGTATAACTCCAGGGGAGACACCAGTGTTTGCTGACATTATGGATGAAATGTAAATATTAGACAAACCAAAGTCCAACAAGAGGTTGAAGAACTTCCCATTGAATTCCAGATGTCCTACAAGATAAAACAGGTATCTCACTGATCTCCTTAACCAGACCAGGGAAGACAAAGCACCTGGACCTGCCTCTTGTCATACAATGGCTCAGAGGCTGCCTGAGCCCAGGCTCAATTTGTCATCGGCAGCTCCCAGGAAAGGGAGRAAGGAGGAAGAAGAAAGGGAACTAAAGGAGCAGCCATCTTCAGCACATAATTTCAAGACTCATTTTTACACTCAGGAAAAGCCCGCTGTGTTTGCTGTCAAGACAAGACAAAGAAATACAATGGAGAACAAGAACAGAAAAGCAAGAGAAGAAAAACTAAACTCTTCTCCACTTCATCAGCCCTGGAAACAGAGAGGAAAAGTAATCATTTGGTTCTCTCTCTCYGTGTTCCACATGATATTTGTGTTTTGCTCAGTTCACCTGTATTTCCAGCATTGTGTTCTCATGTCACAGTAAAACAGATGAGATTGCACCCCTGACAGTGAGAGTAAATCTCTTACCTGGACCATGGAAGAGACCCAAACTCCCAGAAACTTACTACAAAGGAGCTAGACTTATACAACTTCCTGTTTTTAATCACAAGTTTACACTGAATGCTAACAACAGAGGATTAAATCTCTTCTTTTCCCAGAGTTTATACTTCCCTCCAGTAGAACACCACCATTCAGGTAACAGATACTGAGCACCAGCATTAATTGCTGGGGCATCAATTCTTCACCAAAGCATGCAGCTCATTCTGCACAGTTACACTCAGCTTTGCCTTTCACCTTATCAGCTTTGAATAAGGTTGTTAAGATAAGAATTTCACACATTCCCATTTCTAATCATCAGTRGGTTAGAAGGACTCTCCAGAAGTCACCCAGTCTATTTTTCCACCACATGGAAGGATCAGTTCTCCTAAAAGCACTCCTAAAAGCTACTGCTTTTCCAACTTGTTCTTAAAGCTTTCCATGACTGAAACTGCCTAACATCCTGGGGGAATCCACTCCAGCACTCAGTTATCCTTAATGAAGGAGATCATTCACTGACACCTCAGCTAAATTTCTCTTGCCACAACTTCAGTCTATAATTTGTCTTATTTACAGTGGACAGATTTAGTTTATTCCCTCTCTCCATGACAAGTTTACTATTTCCAAACTTTACAAGTTGAGGCMGTGCTGCTTGTCCTCTCTTTGCCCATTCTGCTTCTACTTAAAGCACATTCTCAATGTGTGTGTGTATCTCTTTCCTTACCTTGAGAGAGCAGGCACTTGGGTATCAGGAGGCTGTTTCAAGGGAGGATGCTCACCTCCAAAGGCTGATGCATTCAGGCACACACCCAGTTACAAAGMACTCTGAAACAAGAAAAGTAAAAGATTTGTCTTCAGCATGGCAGGCAGAGTCCAGTCCAAGAGTAAAGAAAAAACCAGCAGCTCTGAAGTGAAATCTTTCCCACCCCATTATTTAACATGCAAACAGRTCTTCAAAAGCAACATCACTGACTGTGCATACATCATGTGCCACCCCTCAAAGCTGACCACATTTTCTCTAACAAGCACTGTAAGGGTTTGATAAATTTGTGTTCTAGGAAACAAAGTGTTCATGGACTTTGCAGAAAGCTCTACCAAGATATAAGCAACACCCAACACACATCAAAATCAGGTGGCTCTGACTCCAAACCTTTATGCTCTAYGACAGAGGACAAATCTTAATGTTACCACTGGTGACTTTATTTACAGTGYCACTGAAACCAACAAAGGTAAGAYGTCCAGTCTACTCTGAGATTTGGATGTGTGWAATTATGGGATAGATCCAGAGGATAAAAGCCATGTCTGATGAATGGCTTTTGTATCCACAACATATTCTTACCTCCTGATCTTCAGGATGTTCTACCTAGCAAAACAAAATCTCTCTTGAACCCAAGTGTTTGGTAACAATGTAGAAAGTATTTACATAACCAGTGTTCAGAAACACAGGGGAGAATTCTGAATGACAAAAACATCCCAAATTTCATGAAAGACAAGCAACAACGAAGAGCRGCAATAATACATTTGCCATCCTACTTCTGGAGGCTCTCAGAAAAAGAGAGTTAGACAGTAGCAGACAATKTGCAACAGCACCTTTCAGCAGCAGATCACCTTTTGCACCCCATCTCATCTAAATTCCTGTCTCCCCTCAGCAGGAGCTGCTCCTGGCCCCAAAGGATCAAGTGGCTTTGTAACAAATACACCTTTTCCGATGGCTGAAGCCAAGAAACACTCAGTTTGTCACCTACTGTGAAAACAAGATGCTTGTTGCACATCTAAGGATGTGTCAACGCAAGAACTCAGTGTCATCTCTTTCACACAGATCGTCCATCTGACTGTCCCTTTGGTGACAGCACTTTGTCCACCTCCAAGTTTCTCCTTGGGATGTTTCTTTTCATCCTTAATAATCCTGCCCAGCTGTCCTGGGSTTTTGCTTTCCTTCATCACTTGCACTTTTAGCAATGCCAACACTTACAGCCAGCCAGCCCAACTGCTGTCAGCACAGGAAGGCGACACGCTCCTGTTCAGCAYGGATTTGATAACAGAAGTGCTGTTTCCAAGGCTAAAGAGGAATACCTGCACCAATAATGTCCCTAAAGCAGCACAATGTAGCTGAGGAGACTGAGCAATAAATGCCTGAAGGTGAAAAACTCAAAGTAATCTCAAAATGTATGTTGGACAACTGATAAAAGACTCCAAATGCATGCCCATCTTTAAGGGTGAAAGTAGTTCCAAGGACTTCAGCAAGATCATCTGCAGCATCAGACATGTTACCTCCCAAAATACTGGTGAGATAAGGATGTTTAGCAAGGGATAGAGATATGAGGAATGCTTCCACCAAGAAAATAYACCCATTTCTACAGCTGAATTACGACAGCTGTTGAAAACCATGGAGTAGCATTGAATGGYGGCCCAGGACAGGGAGCCAAGACAACTACCACATGCAATTGAAACTGCCAAGGGATTAAGTTAGGTCAAATGTAATTACACAAATTGGATCCTGGCCAGAGTACTGGCTTATTTAAGAAAATTAAAAGAGGTGTTCAAAAGTTTCAGAGATTGAGTCCTCCTCCTGTTAATTATTTGGTGAGTCAGTCAGTGAAGTCTCAGTACTCTGGGAGGCCATCTGAAAAAGGGGAAAAAATGAGGCATAAACTTGAAAGGCATTAGAAGCGATTAGCAAAMGCCTTTGTTCTCCATGGCAATCCTGGCTGCACCAGTGCGCGAAAGCCTTTCATGTCCACGCTGAAAAGTGGCCTCAGTTCCTTTGATACTTCTGGGAGGAAGCGTTTAAATTTACAAATATCCCGCTGACAGAAGTTACAGACAACAGTCGAGGAACTTCTGCATAACCCAGCCAGATCATGCCCAGCTCTCAGGCAGGCAGCACTGCTGCTGGAGGGAGGAATGACTACAAGGACACAAAAAAGTTCACTGGCACCTGTAACAATGTCACTCTCCGTGCTAGGGATGTAGGAAAGCCAAGTCAAGTCAAAAAGGAGATTGCAGCCATGTGGGACAGTGGCTTCCTCCCCCTCATTCAGTTTGCAAAGATGGAGAGAATGCAAGGCAGGCAATGGTGAGGAGACCAGAAAGGAAGCTTTGTGGTCTGGCAGCTGAGCATCACTTGGAAAGATTAAATCCTGTTTATGCCTCTGCCATAAACCTTCTGAAYGATAAGAGCAAAGTCACATACATCAAATTTTCCCACATATTTATTGCTCTGCCTTCTCTGGCTGAATAAAGATACAGAAGGACCATGTCCAGAAGAGACAAGAACTAGCAGGCAGGGATTGAGATTCTCTGTTCAACCTTTAATCAAGACTTGTACTATAACCATGTACAGCACTACAAAACATGATGTGTTCTGAAGAAACAGGCCTTGTAAGTCTCAGTTTTGGCACCTGAAAGAAGTAGATGCCTCTGCTACCTCTGCATCTGGAAGACATCATTAGAGATACACTCRTCGCTGTCTTTGAAGCAGGATGCGACAGTAAAAGCAGCACAGAATTGGAGATTAACCTTTTTCGGGTAGCTTATTCAGTGCAACGTTCAGATGATGCACATGAAACAAACCATTTTTTGACTGACATGAAAAAAAAAAACTAAGAGATGAAATAACTATCTTCTCAACAAGTGCCATACACGAGGCGTGTCAAGTGACATGGCTGCGTCTCACAGTGACAGCAGGTGAACACGCAACCRAAGCCTCTGCCATATTGATTTTGTGTACTTTTTTTCCCTTTAACTTTCCATAAAACAAGCCAGGAAAAGGCAGACATTTCACAGCACAGATTGGTGCAATTTGTGCTAATGGCCCAAGCGGAGATGCAAGCAGCAGCTTGCTTCTCTTTGCGTGGAACAGTCAACAGGGACAAGTCTGGTGGGACAACTGCTGCCACGGCACACCTTGCCCCAGCCCAGCAACACCTCCTCCTCCAGCAGCTTCRCAACGAGCAGGGCAAGAGCTAAGAACACAGGGAAAAAGATCTCTGCTGTCTTGCCATGCTGTGCAAAATCCAGGGGCAAGCAAAGTGGAAAAAGGTTTCAGTCTGTGCTGACCACACACAAGCTGTCGTTCTTCCAAAGGGTAGCCAAGTGCTCTTCCAGATAGCAAAAGCACAAACATCCTGAACTCCTCATCCCTTGAAGTGCCCAGGCACCGCACAGATCACAGAGACATGGATTTCTTTTACAAGTAGGAACAAAACAGCATGGCAGTTCTTCCCATTCCTCCTAAACATCTTCCAAGCAGCCTCCTCTGAAGCAGCTCCACTGCTTCTGCTGGAAAGCCCCAAAAAAAGGGGCAGGTCAGAGCTAGAGCTACCACATCACCAGTGCTGGTGATGCTGGGGCTCCACTGCACACAGGGCTGATGTTACACACACTACAAAAAAATAGATTTTTCAGCACAAAACAGAGGCCAGGGAGAGYAGGGCAGCCTGAAGGGTTTCATACCAAAGAGAGACCTCCTGCCAAAAGAAGGTGGCCGTGGAGGCCAGGGTGTGCAGGGGGACAYGCTCCTGTGGCAGCAGCAGTGATTAACCAATACTGATAATGGCCTCCAGTGCCTTAAACAAAGCACGAGGAAACAGCACACTAAGTACTAATGCCAAGTGGCAATAGAGGCAGGGCTCCTGTTCAAATAAAATTTTTTTTTTGACCAGGTTAGTTGTAAAAAAAAAAAAAGTTTCTGCATGCAGGGACATCCTGTTCACTATATTAAATTAAAGGGATGATTCAAGAGGGAACAGCTTTCGGCAGGCAGGGGGAGAAAAAATCAATTTCAGGTTGCTATGGACAACTGGGCTGTCTCCTGTAAAACGGAATCKGATTCAGCTCCACGAACCTGAACACTAAACATTCCCTCAAATACAACACACACACGCTCACTAAATTAATGAATACAATAAAATGCAGACTTGTGTCATCKCCCAGGTTTTTTTGGCTGAATGAAGGACATGCTCAAATCTGMTAATTGCCACTAAATACAGGAATTCATTTTAGCTTAGCAGTGGTTTTCTGACTGCCAGTCCAACACTGACCACTGCCTTACAGGGGAAAAGCTATTTAACCAAATAAACCAGCAAATAAACCAGAGCAGTGCCCAGATTCACCACACTCCAGGCCCTTCTGTGTGCTCCGGGAGTGTAGCAGGAGCTAAAACCAAGTGCTGTTGATCCAGGCTCCTGCAGAACTCAGCCAGAAGGGACAGCAAAAGGTCAGCCTGATCTCAAGCAAAAGATCAGCCTGATCTCAAGCATGTCCTGGCTGAGAGTGGACCGAGGCAGTTTAAGCTGCCCACAGTGAATAGCCTGAATAGAAACAACACCCTCCACCCTGATCAGCCGACCTATGGTCACACCTCCAGAAGGAGCCTCACATGGAGGRACCACTGGGGACAACATGGTGGCCAGGGTCCAACAGGTGCCCTCTCCCCACACTTTGCATCAGAATAATTTCAAACAGGTTTTAAGCACCTTCTCCACTCCCTGCAGGAAGAAAAGCCCTGGTGAGAAAGACTGGAGCAGAGATGAGACATCTGATTCTGTACCCTTTCCCAGCAGCTGTTAGGAAATCAAAGAAATCCATCTAGATCAATCTCTCCATCAAGGCAASAGGAAACATTCCCATCCCACGATACTATAAGTGTTATGGAGCAGTTAATGATTTTCCAATGAAATGTACCATCAAAATATAAGATTTTATTAGCAAAATCAATGATGTGTGCAGAGACAGTCCCTTGTGTGTCTTAGAAAAAAAGTCTATGAATAAACCTGACAGGAATAAAGAACATTGTGCAATTATTACAGCTGTTTTACAGGATT